TGTTCTAACAAACTAATTAAGGCTTTCAGCTATTTTGTTAATGGGTGATTCAGATTTTCCAGTTACATAAGTCACTAGTAGAAAAAGAGACATAACATTACACTAGGCCAGAGCTTCCCTCCTTGCTCTTCCATAGCCATCTGTCTAAGGAAAACTTAAACTGGATCAGAGGATGAGATTTTCTCATCCCTTCTACCCCCTGCAGGCACAGGCAAAGTTTGTCAGCAGCAGCAAGATGAATGTGGAGGTGTAGTGTCTACACCGATGCCTATTCCTTGGTTGTGCACAGGTGGTGGGTTCTTCCCCATCCTGCTCATGTGGGAGAAGTCCCTCCTCAGGAGCCACCACTCTAGAAGCAAGACAAGGTAGTGGTTCCACAGTACTCAGGATGAGATAGTTGTCCTCCTTTGGGGCTGGTTACAGATCAGGGGGCTTGGTCCTTAAAGAGTTTTCTCTTATGAACAGTATATGATCAGGGATACCACACATATACATCTTGAGCCTTCAAGGCAATGTTTGAACTGCACAGAGCCAGGGATCTATATAAGAAAACTGATCTGGGTCTGGCTTGTCCGTTACTACCTCTCACACCCTAATGGACTATATAAGGATTGATAGTCCCTTCAGTTGGCAAGCCTACTCCAAAGGAAGTCCATTCTCATTTACAGTGTTAGGTACGAACCCACACAATTGACCAGACCAGGCATTTTGATGCCAGTAGAAGATTTATTGGGGACAACAAGCAGGCTGTCTGCCTAGCGGGCTAAGACAGCAGTGAACAAGGCAAAGCAAAGGGTTTTTAAGGAGTGGGGAGGAAGTTGTGGGCTGGAATAGCCCAGGGAAAGCTAATCTTGGCAGGGCTACCTGGTCTGTGGGGGACTTTTAATGTTAACAAAGGAGGGTTTTTCTGGTAGCTTTCCCAGGTCAAAGTCAGGTGGACTTGTTCTGTGGTTTTGAGGTTGGTTCTACATAGGGCCAAGGGAGAGAGAATTTTAGGGCAGGGCACCTGTGAAACCAAGAGGAGTGTGCTTGGGGCAGGGTGCCTGGGAAGCTTTGAATCCTAACCTATCACACAGCATTTTAAGTTTTCATTTTGTCGTTTTTACTCCATATTAACATTTACATTTATCAAAAATTCCTGATCATGCAATTCAGCCTGGTTGTCTTGCTGTTGGCATCCCCCATGACAGAAATCCTAAAAGCACTTCCACTCAATACACACAAGAAGCAAAAATGCAAGGCTAATATAATTTGACACAATGGCAGTAACTATAACAAAGTGAAGCAACTGGACATGGTCTGAGTTTTTCTAGGTTTCCAAGTAGTGGCAGAAAGGGCAGCAGCAGCAGGACAATTGGCACTCCCTGGCTCACATAACTGATTGGACTGTAGCCTGAGTGTGCAGACACAACAGGAAGACAGGCATATTGGGGAAGTCACAGCAAGCGATTTGGACAGACAAACAAACTAAAACAAACAATATCCCAGAAAGAAATTTGGCCCTTTCTGACCTTTCCCTCACCAATTTAAACTTCAGACTGGTTTAGATAAAAACTAGTGCAGAGGCAACCTTTGACAGCAGAAACAACCAATCTCCCAGGAACTCTCATCTGGGAGAAACTACAAACCACTCACAGGTCCTTTGAGATGACTAACAAACAACCAACCTCCCAGGAACTCTCACCAGGGAGCCCAGGATATTTATTCTATTAGGACTCTAAATTTATGTAATATATTTACTATAATTTATTTCACTTAGCATGGTATTGCTTCCTGTACTGTACATAAACAAAGTTAATCCTTTTTCAGATTTAATAATATTCATGACACTTTTTTGAAAGAATAAAAAATATAAAGCAAATACATGGAAAATTCTTTGTTTCAAAGGTTTAGTAGCTATTAATAGATTGCCATCACCTTTACAATATTAGTTGATTTTTGTGAGATATTTTAAATACATTTGCATTATGCATATTGCTTAGCATGTTGTGGTTGAAGAACAGTGATAATGTTAACTGTAAAAAATAACTGTGTGCACAAAAAAGAAGTGTCCAATTTTGTAGGTATAAAATATTTGTCCTATGAGAAGAATAAACTGCAAACTATTGCTGAAAAGTTAATTATGATTTGTATTGACTTTACCAATTCTAGCAAAAAGCTTATTACTTTCTAGATAACAAACAAAAAATCGCCAATGAACAGGAAATCAATATTTTAAAATGCATGAAAAATATGCTTTGCATTTTTCTCCGCAACAGTTTTCTCGCATTTCCTTTCCCTCGTTTTTGTCTGAAATCCAACTTAGAGTCCTTATGTAGTGTAATTGCATACTAATACAATCATACAATATAAGCAGAACAGACATCTAAGCAGAAAGTATTAAGATATTTATAAAGTACAGAGATAAATAAAATGTTTAAAGGTTCAAAATTACAAATTAAAAGTGTATTAAAGTATAATATCTACATATTAAAACACTTAAGTGTGACATTATAAAAAGGGAATCCACCTCAGTGGGTCTACTGGGAATGATCCATAGGACTGGAAGTTACCTGGCAGAGCAGGCCCTCTCCACTTCAGCAGGTCTAGAAGGAAGGAGCTTCAGAACCAGCAGCCAGTGGGGCACAGTGGGTACTCTCCACCTTGATTGGCCTAAGAGGAAGGAGCTACTGGAACTGCAACAACTTGGATTGGGCTCAGTTGGAAGGAGCTGAACACAGCAAGCAATCCCAACCAGATCCTGTCAGTTGAATTCAAGTTGAATAGGTAAAGACTCAGTGAGCTGAGGTGTATTGCTCAGCGTAGCCAAATCCAGACTGAAGTCCAGACCTACAGAGACGTCCTCATGGCACTGAGGTGGCAGCAGGTAACTGGGGTGAGCTAGTCTGCCTGGAAGACTCCAGGTGCATGAAGGAGAGGTATGCAGACAGAACTCAGGGGAAGTAATTTAAATACAAATTTCTAATTTAAGATCTGCATTCTTATACAGCTATAATCTTTTCTCCTATGGTCTAAAGTACAAACCCACTAGTTACAAGGGTTGTCAATTTCTAATTTTCTCTTTCTTTCTTTCTTTCTTTCTTTCTTTCTTTCTTTCTTTCTTTCTTTCTTTTCTTTCTTTCTTTCTTTCTTGTGGAACTGGGGATTGAACTCAGGCTCTTATGCTTACCAGGCAAGCACTTATTCTACTGAACTGTCTCCCAGGCTCCTCTAAATTTCAATAGCTTTTATTGGTATTGTTAATTGTACTACTGTAAATAGGAAGCCATACTTACCTTAACTACATATTTCCCTGGGGTATTAATATTGAGTGGTGCTTGGGTAATAACCTCACTAAAGCCATACACTGAAAGATGTAGTACTTTGCCAAATGGAAGCCAATATCTCACTCTTGAGAAATACAAAAGGTAAAATTTTGGGACAGACACAAAACGAGAATCTGTGACACAGGAGAAATACTTAAAAAATAGACTCTTTACACAGAGGCTCTGACTGTAATGATATAGCTACTTACTATTAATCTTTCACAAAAAGGTTTCACAGAAATCAAAATAAAGAGTTCTCTCTGAAATAGAAAATGACAAAAAGAAGGGTCAAAATGCATTCTCAGGCCCGAGCCCACCCAGAACAAACCCAGGAGACATAAACGTAGAAGAAACTGGAAGCCACACACCTGAAATCTCAGAAATAAGAACACCTGAAGTAAAGAAACAAATGCAGAAGGGTATAGAGGAAATCAGATCAGAATTAATCTCACAGGTAAAAACGCAGAAATGATAATTATAAGGAAAGAATTACTAAGCATTTCAAAAGAAGACACTGATAAAAAGTAGAAGAGAAGAGAAAAATGATGGAAAACTTTAATGAGCAATATAGGAAAGAAATAAAATGCATGAAGCAGATTCAGAGATATACAGGAAATTAAAAACTCCAATAAAGTTGGCAAAACTGTTTGAATGGAAGTGAAGATAAATTTTCAAACCTTGAAGACACCATTGAAGATAGGGAAAAGGTAATGAAAGATCTCTTACAATCAACTAGGATCCATGAAATAATAATTCAACATCTGCAAGATCATGTAAAGATGACAACATAAGTCTAATAGGCATCAATGAGAAAGAAGGAGACAACAGAAATGACATAAGAAGAATATGGGAAGAAGTAATGGCAGAAAACTTCTCAAAGATGGAGAAACAATTTGATATTGAGATAACTGAGGCATATAGAACACCAAACAATATCAACTCAATTCTAGTTACACCCAGACATATAATAGTCAAGATCTCAGAAATTCAGGAACAATATTGTAAAAGCTGCTAGAAAAAAGAAACAGATCACGTTTAAAAGAAAACCCATCAGAATAACAGCAAATTTCTCCTCACAAACCATAAAAATCAAGAAGAGCACGGAGCGCAATTCTTCAAGTCCTCCCTGCAAAAGACCAAATTCAAACCAATACTGATGTATCCTGAAAAACTCTCTTTCAAATTTAATGGAGAAGTGAAATACTTCCATGACAAAGGAAAAAGGAAATTCTTGATGACCAAACAAATCCTACACAGAATACTAAAAGATATTCTAGAAAGGATCAAAATATTCAAAATTCCAAGAATGGAAACAGAAAGAACCCAGCAAACATGCAAACTATTAAACACAGGATAAATGTAGGGAACCAACAATAGAAAAATAACATGACAAACCTAAATCAATACGTATTAATTATAACCACCAAAGTAAATGGACTCAATTCACCAATTAAAATAAATAGATTGTCAGAATGGATTAAGAAACAAAAATTGAACAATATGTTGCATACAAGAAACACATTTAACCCTGAAAGGAATTCATAGGCTGAAAGTCACAGGTAGAAAACTACTAGATGCTCCAGGATCTCTGAATAAAGCAAGGGTAGCTAATTTGTGGGCAGGCAATTTGAATTCCAAACCAAGAATTATCAAGCAAGATGCAGAAGGTCACTTTGCAATGGTTAGGGGAAAAATTCAAGAGGAAGAAATAATAGTCATAAATATTTATGCATCAAGTGTGGAAGCACTCTACTATATAAAGTGCATGAAAAATCTAATAATCAATTTCACTATTTTAATAGGGGAACTTAACCCCCCCTTATTTCAAAAAGATAGGTCAATTGATAAAAAATTAGCAAAGAGGGAGCAGAACTGAACCAAACCTTTGAAAAAATTGACTTTGTGGACATATAGAGTTCCACCAAACAACATCTGAATACAGTCTTTTCAGCTGCACATGAGAAGTTTTCTAAAATAGACAACATACTAGTCCATAAATCATGCTTAAGTATAAGCAAGAAAGCAGAAATTATCCCATGCATATTATCTGACCATAGTGTATGGAAACTGGAAATTAACAACAAAAGAAACTACAAAACCCTCATTAGTATATGGAAATTAAATGACACCCTCTTCAGCAATCAATGAGATTACAGATGAAATTAAACAATATCTACAACCCAATGAAAACTGAAACACAATTTACCAGAATTTGTGTGATGCAATGAAAGCAGTTCTCAGAGTGAAATTTACAGAGGTGAACTCACATGTTAGGAAAACAGAGTGAGACTAAATAAATACCCTAAAGCTACGTGTCAAGCTTCCAGAAAAAGAATTGCAAACCAAGACAAAAGTTCAAAGATGGAAGAAAATTTTAAAGATTAGAGCAGAAATTGATGCAATTGAGATGAAGAAAATAATACAAAGAATTAATATTTACAAAAGCTGTTTTTTAAAAGAGTAAATAAAATTGATAAATCCTCAGCTAACCTCCCCCAAAAGAGGAAAAAAAAAACCCTCAAATTCAAGCAATAAGGAATTAAAAGCAAGAAAGTACTACAGATCTTGTGGAAATTCAGATGTTCATCAATCGCTCTTTTGAAAATCTTTACTCTGACAGGATCAAAGACTCAGAAGAAAGGGACAGACTCCTAGATAAGTACAAGTTGCCAAAACTGAATCAAGAAGATAGAAAACTGAATAACACAATATCAGCCAAAGAAATAGAAAATGTAGTAAAATACTTAGCAACAAAGAAAAGCCCCGGTCTAGATGGATTCACAGCTGAATTCTACAAGAAATTTATAGAAGGTTTAATTCCCATACTCCTCAATCTTTAAAACAGAAAAGAGAAGGGAGTGATATTGCCAAAATCATTCCTGGGGCCAATTATTATACTGATACAAAACCCAGAAAATGATCCAATCAAAAAAGAGAATTATAAGCCAATCTGCCTCATGAACATAGATGAAAAAAAACTCAATAAATGCTACCAAATAGAATACAGCAGATCATCAATAAGATTATACATCACAATCAGGTAGGATTCATTCCAGGGATGCATGGATAGTTCAACTTACACAAATCTATAAATGTAATACAGTATATCAATAGAGTTAAGACCCGATACAGAAAAGTCTTTTGACAAAGTCCAACACTCATTCATGATCAAAGCCACACAGAAAATTTTTTTCAACATAAAGAATAGAATTTTATTTTATTTTATTTTTTGCAGGTCTTAACTTTTATTTCATTTTAGTTTATTTTTTCCATAATTTTATTGAGAAACAAATAGCAATGAGGCAATTTCTAACCAAATTGGTAGGACAGTTTCAATAATTAACACATTGCATACATTCTTCCTAGTGGTTAATTACTGTACAAGATGCGGACACGATATCCTATTTACAAACACCATTAGAACAAATCATTCTATTCATTAAGAGAATGTAACTATATATCTATCCTAAGCATTTTGAATACACAGATATAAAGTGGACATTCATTGGTATTCCCTTTTTTGTTTAGTTCCATTATTTGAATCTTATAGGTGTGTTAAGTCAGCAAAATATTCTAAAAGAGTGCAGTAGTTCAAAATAGTATTGGGTCTACTGCTTCACTGGTAACGTCAGAAATTGTTGACCTGAGTTTCCTACAGCTCTCAACATAATAGCATGTCTTTACTTCTTTAACTTCACTTTTACACTTTTCTGCTGTATGGTTAAGACCAAGGTAAAGCAGGACCTATGCAACAAGAGTTGTAGCTTTTGGGTCTGATAAGGTCAATGAAATCCCTTCAGGATTTATGCTGAGATCCTGTACTTCAGATTATAGAACCTTTGTCAGTGTCAGTCTTGTGGATGAGTCTTGGCCATTGGTTGGCCAATGTGCTCTCTCACATGAAAATTTTAATAGATGACCTATACCTTAAATTGATTAAAGGCATCTATGAAAAACCAACAGCCAACATAATTCTAAGTGGAGAAAAACTGAAATCTATCCAACATTATCAAAAAAGGAAAGAAAATACTCAAATTCATGCAATGAGGAATGAAAAGTGTGAAGGTAATACAGATCATGTGGATATTCAGAAAATTTTTAATAAGTATATGGGGATCGTAGCCATGACCAATTCTTCATAAAGAATGAAGAAGACTCTAAATGATGTAGCAAAAATCTTGTAGGTGATCTTCTTGGCTTGCTGCTTAGAGTGATCTTATTAGCCATGGTAGAGTAGGAGCTGAGGCCCAGCAAGGCCAGTAGACACCTCATAGTCTTAAAAATATACGTAAACCATTTGAAAAGCGCAGGTAATAAATATTTTCCATTATGTATGGTTATATAACCTGAGGGGAAATTTAATTTAATTACATAACCACACATGTGACTTTGTTGCAAGAAGGAACCCTCTTCACAGAACACAAATTGTACAGTTCTCTGTTAATGCATCTTTATTTTCTAGTCCAGAGATTCTTTACAGCAATTTTCATCTCTGCATTTCTCAGAGTGTAGATGACAGGATTCAGCATAGGAGTGATAACAGTGTAAAACACAGCTAAGTATTTATCACTTGGCAAGGTAGATGGATGTCTCACATAAATTAATAAGCAAGGAACAAAGAATAGGATGACCACTGTTATGTGGGATCCACGAGTGGATAAGGCCTTGCGCCTCCCTTCCTGACTCAGGTTCTTCAGAGAATGCAGAATGATGCCATAGGAGGTCAGCAATAGTGAAAAGGTGAGCACACAGAGGACACCATCATTGGCCACCACTGTGAGGCCAATAATGTAGGTGTCTGTGCAGGCGAGTTTTAATAATGGATACAAATCACTCACGAAATGGTCCATGACATTGGGTCCACAGAAGGGAAGGTTGTAAACAGAAAGAACATGTGGGACTGCATGCAGAAGGCCCCCAACCCAGGTCAAAAGCACGAGCTGAGCACACCGCTCTTGGTTCATGATAGTCAGATAATGCAAGGGTTTAAAGATGGCTACATAATGGTCATAGGCCATGACAATCAGGATTATTATGTCTACACCACCAAGTAAATGACCCACAAGGAGCTGTGTCATGCAAGCTGTGAAGGAAATTGTCTTTGTCTCAAAGAGTAAATCTTTAATCATCTTTGGAGTAAATGTAGTGGAATAAACAGCATCCATAAATGATAAGTAGCCAAGAAAGAAGAACATTGGGGCACCAAATGTTGGGCTCAGCACCACAGTAAAGACAATGAGTAGATTGCCTGCCATTGTCACCACATAAATCAATAGGAAAACAGCAAATAATATTTTCTGACCCTCGAGGCTCTGAGTGAGTCCCAAGAGCATAAACTCAGTCACATTGTTCCTTCGTTCCCTATGTTTTTCTTTGTGTCTCTGCTCAGAACCAAATTACCTACAAACAAAATAATTACTAGTGAATCCATGAATTTCAGAATACTTATTAATTCCTTAAATAGGCAACATAAATATTCTGTTCCTGAGCTGTTAGAGATTTTCCCAATTCATATTTGATGAACCATGGATCCTAATTGAAGGGTTATTATAGAATCATCATAACAGAAATAAAAAAAATTAGAAACATGTATGTGTGTGAAAGAAAAATGAATCTCCCGTAGCTTGTTTTCTGTCTGGAAGATAATGCAAGCACTCATCAAGCTATCAGCACAAAGAAAAAAATTCTGGTTAAATATTTAGCAATATTTTGGAAATGACAACCAGACTTATTTTATATTTACTTCTCAGTTACAAAGTATGTATGATTTTCTACATTCTTGGGATTGAAGAAATTTCTCAACTAATATAAATCTCATTCACACCTTAGGTTTTAAAATATGTTGAGAATATAGAAAAGGAGGTCTGCCAGATAGCACAGCTGCCTAAAGCACCTGCGTAGGCTGAGCACAGGGACGAGGATTCGATCCTCAGTGCCACAAGCCACGCCAGCCAGCCCCTGGGGCTCTCTGAGATGGCGATTGAGACTCGGCGTGGTGCCAGGGCCTCTAATTCCAGTGCTTGCAAGGCTGAAAACAGGAGGATCACTATGAGTCAGAACTGTGTAGTGAGTCCCTGTACTAAACGTATAAAATAAAAATATACAAAAGGATAAAATAGATATACAAAAGCAACTTAGAGAGAACCTGAAAAAATAGAATGTGGAGAGTAGAGATGATTGGAAGGGGGTTCAGGGAAAGAGGAGAAAGCAGGGTAGTTAGGGAGATGATGAGAGTCAGAGACAGGAAGTTTGCATACAGAGAAAAAACCCTCTGTCACATCTTATTTACTAGCACAATATTCATTTATAAGTAAATCTAGAAATTGGATTAATCTCTAATGACAACCACTTCACTGATTCATAAATTCTGTACTGCTTCCTATTCACAGACATGGAATATCTTCCTTTTTACCTATGACCCATGTCTCTGTTCATGACGAGTTCACCCTCTTTGTCACTCTTAAGGCGCTATTCTGATTTTATTCTCCTTGTCCTACGTCCTTAATTTCCTTCCTGTACTGCAGCATTCTCTGAGGATATTTACATGGTATGTCTTCGTATTTCAAATTTTTATCCTGGTACCCCAGGTCCCTTTCCAGAAAACATTTAAATGCAAATATCTGCTCATATTGTACAATCTTGGTCACTTAAGTCCAAACGCAATATGACTTCTCCTCTTTCTTAATACAGTATTCTTTTAAATTAATGTAAGAGATTGCTGACTCATGCATATGTTATATTATGTTCTAAAGTCTCACTTTTATTTTGCTGTACTGTGCATTGAACTCAGGACCCTGTGCTGGCCAAGCAAGCACTTATTCTACTGACTATCTCTGCAGCCCCCAAAGCCTCACTTTTATACTTCTACAGATGCCAAATGATATTTTAAATTTATAATTTTAAACAATATTCATAATATAGATATAGTGATCTCAAAAAGAAATTTCTTTATTTTCATTTTTTTTTAATGACAAAAAAAGCAGGCAGGGTTGGGGAGGTAGTTCAGTGGCATGAACACCTTCCTGGCAAACACAAGGTCCTGAGTTCAATCTGTGCTACAAAAAAAGAAGCAATTATACAAACTTCAGGTGAGGTTGTAGGAGAGTAGGAATGGTTAATACATTTCATATAGTTAACTTTCAAAGAAATTTGAAATCTGTTGGTCTCCAGAAATATTCCAAATGGTTACAAAACAGTTAGTTTGTGAGAATGCTGATGTTAAGGGAGGAAAATTTATTCCACATTTTTACAATTTTGAAATATGAAAGAGGAGTTTTCAATATTGGAATCAATGTATACATTTATCGAGAAGTACCCTACAACATAACTATCAGAATCATAAAGCTTTTGGAAGACTATGATTTCCTATGTCAACAAGGTGCATAGTGAACATACAAGTAATAGGCTTCCTGAGTTACCTGCAGGGACAGCGTCATTTGTTCCAAGTTGTGAAATTTGATACTGGTCCTTGGGCCTAAACGATAGCAGCTTCCTTGACTGATGTCATCTCCCTGTATTTAAGAAGTAAATAAAATACACACGTGCCTTTTCTGTGCGTTGGAGTTTTCCAATGATCAATTCTTTCCATGTTTTTAGGAAGGTTGATTCATCAGAAATTCATAAAAATTTATTTCAAAAATTATGGCCAATCTTTATACTAATCTCAACAGTGTCCCATGACTTTAAGAAATCTGAAACTGTTATACAGAGATGAAAATCTTTATTTTGGACAAATTATTTCTTTAAAAGAAACAAATATTAAGCAAGCATTTTGAAATTCAAGAAGTTAATTTGTCACAGAAAATAAATCATAAATAACAGATATTTATTTCTAAGTTTTAAATAAAAATGATATAGCTGTAAAAATATTTCAGTTTCTAGTCAGATATGGTGGCCTGATCTTATACACCCTTGTTGAATTTAAGACAAAATAAAGAATGAAGAAAAATTGAATCCCTATTTTGTCATGCCTTGAGTATATACAATCTATTCCTAAGCAAACAGTTCTGTGAATATTAATATAGACAAACTCTCCCTGAGATCAGGGCAAAGTGTGAATACTTTACCTGTATTTAAACTACAGTGCATATTATTGTGTTATTCAGTTGCTTTAACTCAATGAAAGATGTTTCCTTAATTAAACTCAGTGGGACCTCAAGAATTATGGGTATAGGCAATGCACTGAGATGTAAGAAGGATAAACAATATCTAGAACATGCTTTTGAGAGACATGCACTCTGTGGGAATTATCATAATAGAAAAACCTAAGGTCACATCACCACCAGGGAAAGATTCTGTCTAGAGAGAACTGAAACATGTAAAATTCTCTTGTTATAGACCTTTCCTATTGGTTTATAGAATGAAAAAATTAGGTATGTGTATAAATAAAATATGCAAGCGTTACCATTGAGCTTTTTCTTACCTGTGGTCTTTAATATTACTTTCTTATGAGGTTTTTGTCTACTAATTCAATCTTATGAATTATTGGTCACCATAAATATTTTATTTAATCTGTATTCAGTCTTGTTAGGTGATAGGTTTTTAGTGGCACATCTATTTCTTGGAATATATATATATATATATATATATATATATATATATATATATTCCCCTGGGATCAGTATTAAAATTTGTGATTAGATAACCCAGATCCACGTATAGAAATATATTATTATTGATATCAAACCTCTTTAATTGATCTATAGACATAAAGAAGTCATAAAACATAAACCACTGAAAATTTCTAGAGCATTCACATCTGGTTCAAAGATTTATATGAAAAAGAAAAAAAATAAAAGTCAAAATAAATTTGGAAAACAGAGTTGAATATCTCATATTGCTTAATTTCTACATGTAACATAAAGCACAACATTGGAGAATGGATATGTATAAAGATGAAACAAAATATAGTCCAGAATTATTCCCAAATACTGAATCATTTTTTAAATCAAAGTGAAGATACAATTCAATAAGAAATGGCAGTCTTATCAGCAAAAGATGCTGAGGTCATTGAATATCATTTTTATTGTTAATTTGCAGATTGTTGTCTTCAAATTAGTTGTCCAGATTACAAGATAAAAGAATGCAAAATTGGTCAAAAATTAAAAAGAGAGAAAAACAATTTAAATATTAACTGCTCCTTTCAGCACACTGTGATAAGTAATAAAATTATACAAGCTGTCCTGTGTATATATGTACATATTTCTTAAAAATGCTCTTTGATTGACTCCTCAAGCTCTAGGCATGAGTCAAACCAAAAGGGAGTTTCACAACTTTGATTCCTAAAAGTACAAAAAGTTGGCAGAACATTAGAGATAACTTTTGTGACCCTGAGTTGCACAAAGATTTCTTAAACATGCCAATAAAACCAACACGTATAATATTTTTAAAACAGTAAGTGTATAAAAACTGATAAATTCTGCTGCCCAAATACTTTTAAAAGAAAAACAATGTCAGAGAGTAAAATTTGGCAAGTAATAAGCTGATAAGAGCCTTGTTTCAAGAATATATATCAAAGGAGACAGCGCAGTAGAATAAGCACTTGCCTGGCAAGCTTAAGGGCCTGAGTTCAATCCCTGGTTACACACACACACACACACACACACACACACACAAATATATATCAAAATCATCTGTTAGTACGGTTAACTCAAAATGAGCAGAAGAGTTTAAGAAACACTGATCACATTGAGTATTGTGATGGCCATGTGATTATAGATATCAAAACTCACAAAAAGGTTAAAGAACAAGAAATTATGCATTGTGGAAATCATATCCTGCTTAAAAAAGAGAAATATTGTAAATTTTCTATGTTGAGACAAAATGAAAACACAGCAGACAAATAGGAAAATAGAAACAAAAATATCTAACAAAACCAAGATAAAAGACAAATTCCAAAAGACTCAATTATAAACAATCCTAGTTTCATATGAACAGTGTGTAATAGTTTACTTGGCATAAAAGACTTGTTAAGTGAATGAATATAAGTGAGTGTCAGTTGTTGAGAGTGATAATTCTTACTATATAATCTCTTTATAAATCAAGCTTCATTGAAACCTTGTGTATCTTATTCTTATTTTAATTAAAACAAATAATAATTATTAGATACACTTGGAGCTCTCTTTTCTGCATTCGAAAAACATGGGCTCTTGTGCTGTACAAGTCAAATAAAAATAAAGATTACATTTGATGTACCTGTAGAGGCAAAAGACATATATGGGAAAGAATAGAGACATGAGGGGTTCAAATATACACAACTTAAAACAAGTTTATAACACATTCATGTTCAAAACCATAGGAAAAAATAATTATGCTCTATAAAAATTTTATTTTAGAATAAAGTTAAAGTTCAATC